AAAGTTTTCTTAGTTACTAAGCAACTGCATTTTTTTATCGCGCCAATTCATGGCCGCCTTTCTCGATTTCCACGGATTAGATTTTTCTCCTTTTTATATTTTCTCAAAGTACTTTAAACGTAGATTACAATAAAAAAAAGAACCAAGGTAGATGGACACTCAACAAAGTCACTGCAGTAAAACTGTTAAAAAGTATGTGTAATAACTTGGAATTACTCTAACATTTTGCCTGACATCTCGGCTGAAAATAAAAATTACGACATGAAATTGTAAACACAAACAGATAAAAGCTTTTCAAACAATATACAACTGCAACATCATTTACAAAAGTCACTTAGAAGTTCAGCATACTTTTCCGGAGTTCATCCGGTTCATTTCCGAATGCCTTCATATTACACAGTGGCATTGCGCCAAATCCGCTGGAATTTAGCCATAATGCAGAGGTTTCGCTAGCAAAAAATTTCACACCAAATTGGAGTTGAAGACGACTATATATGTACTCCATTAGGTCTAGCGTCAAGGTTTGCGACATTTTTAAAATTACTGCTGTTTTTAGAACTGTGACTCTATATTGCCTGCTGTATTCTAATTCCAAAGGTGGTTTTTGAAACTTACGAGATGGCTGCTTTCTTTCCTACTTTTTCCTGATTTTTGAGAGTATGGATTTTAAAGGACAGAACTGAAGGCGAATCATGAGATTTTTATCATAAGCTCAGCTTAGGACAGTCTTATAACTAAACTATACGGTAATAAAACATCTGTGTATAAAGTAGCTTCCCAATGTACTGCAGTATTTCGCCTAATGATGACCGGGTCATGAAGAACCTGCGCATACTTAGCGGGCAACCTCGGGTTCAGGTAACATGTGCCTCCTAATTCACGGCAAATGGAAGATTGAATGTTTTTAAAGTTAGTTGGAGGCAAAAGGTTTATTGTAGTGTATAAATCACAGGACTGGTACAGTAAAGAACGGAAATAAACAGATATGATGTTTCCCATGGTTGGTACTCTATATACCATCAGTTGGCCGTACTTTATATGAGAAAAAAGTTGTAAGGTAAACGATGAAAGGAGTTCTCTACATGTTTTGGCAGGGTTAAACAGAATTGATGGAATAATTTGGTCATTTTTTTTCATTTTGGATAGGATTAAAAAATTTCAGTTTTTCAATGAAATGAACAAATCAACAAATCAATTTTCAACAAATTAATTCGTTGCGGAAATATTTATGTAGACAGCGGCAGAATTTTCATTTGCAAACAAGTTTGGTTGATCTTTGTTAGGACCACAAAAGGAAATCAATCAAACGTATCCTTTTTTCCTATCGGAAGGAAAAAATATACGGAATTTTTCAGATTTGTTCC